AAATTTCACAAGTATTTCCTTCCAGAAATGTTGATGCCTAGTATACTAGATACATTTTTTTTTGTTTTTGGTCCTCTAAATCTTAGCTATATCAGACTTTCTTTATAATCGGTGGAAAGAAACAGGTACTTGCATGTCAGATAAATCAGAGTCTAGGTTAGAAATTTGCATTACGGTGAGAGAATAACATGCCATTAATGCATGTTTCTTTCCTTTGATTGTAAAGTCTGGACAGCTAACTCAGACCTAGGTGTCTGGATAATTGCCTACAGCTGATGAAACGAATTCAGCTACCAGCAGTGTTTTCTAATACCATAGAATTCACATCAGTGACAAAACTGAGAAAAATGTCAAGTTGCTGGAGCCTCTGAGATCTTAATCTGGGTGACCTGAAAGCCCTCTGACCCAGAACTGCAGATGGACTGGGACTTCTGAGGAGGTCATGGAAAGTGACTCTCCTCTATTGAACCATGTGAGGTGTTGTTCTCCCTCCTGCATTTATGATTATGGAGTATCTAGGTTAACTGCTTTCCAGGTTTGGGTCCACTGGCTTTGGAAGACGGGACTCCAAACACAGCCCTCCAGGACCACAGGGGAGATTTTGTAAGACGGAGAGGTCAACCTGAGATTTTTTCATGTTTAATGAACAAGCAGTTTTGAATGATTTCCTGTTTTTGTTATAAGTTTATTTCCGTCTCTAGAGAAAATATTTGACACTCTCCTAATGAAGGCCTCAGAAATATTGATCTAGAATCTTTTTTTTTTCTCTGACTCTTTGAAGAATTTTTTCAGAGCCAGTGGTAGATTATGGAGCGCTTCAGAATGTCAGAATGATTAGTCTGTAATCTTCATATTTAGACAAGATTTCCATTAACCTTGCAGGAAGAATCACAAGATTTGTAATTAGACTAGGAACTTTTAATTAAACTAATGCCAAGTCTTGTAAAATAGCTTTAATATCTTTTATTAATACATCAATATTTAGAACTTTTTGTTATCCTAAACATCATTTGTTAGTGTGAGACAGGCTCTCATTATGGTAAAAATCATAAGTATTGATCTGTTAATTAGTACCAGCCCTGCTATGTCACCTCTTCACTTTATGTTTTGTTCAGAAGTTGCACTGCAGCACTCTGTCCCTTGGGGTACACTCCGTTGTGGAGGATAGGGGTAGTGTTCATGTCCTTCCATCTCTTCCTCCTCTTTGTTTCTCTTTAGGCTTCTCTGGTATTCCCACCTCCACCTGTTCTCCGTCATTTTTAGGCAATATCAGCCATGGTGGCTGCTTATACCCTTTCTGTGACTACCATAAATGGCCAAGGATTTAAGTTTCCACCTTCTTTGATCTTCTGGTTGATTTTTCAGTCATACGCTGGTCCTTGCTATGTCCAAACTAGGATGTAGTTCAGTTAAAATGTCAAAGGTGCAGCAGGAGGATTTTTTGGAAGGGACTCCTATTGACAAAAGTCAAAAGCACTTTTCAGAATCAATTTCTAGGTGCGTGGGGAGAAGCTGAAGAGCTTATACTTTATCTATTTGGTGCTCCTGTCAATGGGGTGCCCATGATGGATTTCCTTCTCTACCAGCCCTCTGATTATGCAGACTTCTTTTAATGCTCCCCTATATCCTGTCCCAAAATAGTCTTTGCATGAAAAATAATAATCCTTCAGAGGAGAATCCCATGGGAACATTTTAAGATACCTATAAAACTCCTTGTCTTATGCAGTCATCCTGCATAATGTCAAAGCAACAGAATCTGCATAACTTTATAGGAGTGTGACTGAAAACACAATTACTTTAGATTTCAGGTGAAAAGTTTTAACTGTGCAGGTTTGTCCTGTATCCTCTGCACTGTGAAGAACACATTTCCCATAGGGAATATGAAAGTGCACAGTCATGAACCATCTTACGTCGAAGAATTTTATTACATGAGCCAATGGCAGCCTTGTTTAAGCTTTTGGCAGTGAGTTGCTCTAAAGTTTTGGCAGCTCATTGAAGACACCACAGCTGGAAATTACAGTTTCTTGGAAGAACATTAGTATTTCCAAGCTACAGTGACTAAAATGACTGGCTTGTAAGTCAGAAGGCCCAGAACTGTAGATCTTGTTGAAACAATCTGTTGATCACTGTGACTATAAACAAAAAGCAGTAGAGACATGATGCCTTCATTCAGATGATTGTCTTATTTGTTTATTGGCATTTCTGCTTTGGAAAAATCTGTGATGTTTTACCAAGGTGAAAGCATAGTGATGGATGTGTGAATGAAAAAAAACAAAACACAAGAATGTCTTTCCCTTAAGGAACATATTTTATGACTTTTGAGTTATTGATCCACAGTTATCAGAGAGGTATAGGGATCAGCAGGTAGGAAAATGGTCTAGAAGCCAGAAATTGCTATTTTTGTTCTTGACTCTGCACAACCCTGTCTTGCTGTAGGTCCCTGAGCATGTCATTTCACAGTTTTGTTTTTATTTCTTCATTGAGACATTGGGTTTTTTTTTTCTATTTAAGCGGAAATTGTTGCAACAGGGGTTTGCACTTTGTCCTGTGCTGAGTGTGATGGATTCTCTAGGAACTATTGTCTAGGCTGTCTTGCTTCTTCAACTGTTAGCACATAAAGTAGACATCTATCATCACCAGTTAATCCTCTCTGAGAAAGTTCCTTCAGCCTATTCAGTTTGACAGATGTATTTGTCATTATTATATAGTAAGGCGTCTCCCAAGTTTATCTCTTTTGCATGGAAACTGCCAAAGCAGTTTTTGTTTAGGAGACAGTACCCCCCAAATAAACTTTGGCTTGGCACAGTTATCAGACGTTTTAATGATACTTTCAGTTCTTGAATATTTCATCTCTTTGGTGCATATGCAGCATAAATAGCTTTGCACTCAGGAAATCCTCAGAATTTGCCTGAACAAAAAAATTATTTTATTGCATGGTTCAGTGCTTAACACTAACTTGTAGGTTAACTTGTGTGTGATGAGAAAACTACTTGACTGTTGGCAGATATCCGACTAATTCTTCTATTAATATAAACAGTTTATACTCTAATGGTCTCTTGTATTGCTAAGAACTTGCAGTTTTTAATGTTATTCCTTTATTACACACAGATTAACTAAGAATTTCCCTGTACATAAGTTCAATGTCCTCTCTATATAAGCTCATTGTGCCTAGACTTATTCAGGAGACGAGATTACTTTGAAGTTGTTTTGAAGGCTTATCAAAAGTTGCAAACAGACTGTCCTCCAGAGTGGCTTATCAAATATTTAAAGAGCACTTAGGCCAGTGGAAACTAGATAGAAATAATTAAACTTTCTCTCTAAGTCATTTCCAAATTATTGCTGTTTCTCTTACAATCTGAAGCTTCCTCAATTCTTCTAGAAAAAATCTTCAGAAAGAAAGTAATTAATACTGATATGCCTGCTTTAAGTAGGCTTACATTAGAGGTGATTTCTGGAAAAAAAATGGGAAAGGGGGCCACTTATTGACACATATCAACATTATTTTTTTCTTAAATAGGACTTTAGCATTTACAAACATGTTTCTCATTTGCTGTCCCCCTCAGAAAAAATCAAAACTGTGTTTTCTTCGGCTACTGATCAATTTACTCTCAAACTGGTGTCTTGCAGATGCTTGTTATAATAAAGGTTTATATTCACTAGTAAATTTTTAACCACATGGTTTCTACCTATAATAATTGCTATTTTTACTATGTTTGCCACTTATTGCTGAAAATTTCTACTTCCTTGAAAACACATATATTTAAATACAAACTAAAAAGAGAAATTAGTTGAAATGCCACATGGCATATGTTTTATGTATTTCATTTATATAAACTGTTTCTAATTAATTTGTAGCAATCAATTAGATTTTGTTTGTTTGTCTTTAGAAGACAGATTTTACTTTGCTTATCTGATTGCTAAAACACACAAAACTGATAAGACCTTTTTTAAATGTAAATACAAGTACTCTTTCAAGTAAGTAAAACAGAAACTTATACTTTAAGGAATACTAGAAATACTGGTCTTTGTCACTGATTTATTACTATTATTAATTACTTTGCAGGGTAAAGAGGGATTCACTGTTATTCGGTTAGAAGAAATACTTCCTTCTTTATGACTTTTTTAGCAGATGTCATAAATTAAAGGAAAAAAAGTTTGGTTTCAAGTTGGAAGAAGTTTATAGAATAATTAAACTGACAGATTCCTTGTAGGCAAACTTTGATGATGAAAACAAGTCAGATTATCAACTTTTAAATGATGTGAAGAAATACTGCATAATTTATGATTTTAATTATGTTTGTCGAACCTCTAATGATATCTGATTGCTCTTGGATCATCCATAGAGAAAACTTTTCTTCTTTATTTGTGCATTTTTTTCAAATCGATCCACCTATTCAGGATATATGAGTTCTAATCCTGCCTTTGCCACTGACTTTAGCTCCCTGTGCCACTTCTATATAGAGTTATATATTATATAATATTTATTTATGTTTATATTTATAAAAATGCTCACACGTGCTCTTTGTATGCTAAAGTGATTTCAGTGCTTTCAGGCTTTGATTGTTGAAGCTGAAAAAAATAATGCCACAATTTTTTATTTCAGTACTAATTTTATGTTAGAAATTTTGTATCCATTATCTAGACATTCTTACCTCAGTTTCTGGGCATTCTGTTAATCGGGAGTAACATAATTTTTTGCATAAATTTTATGAGCTAACATTCTAGCCTCATTTTCTTCAACCTTGGGAAAATCATTTTTAACCTTTACATACCTGGTGGCTGGACCACATATGCTTTCTATGCCTATGCAATTGTCATGTTTCACTCGTTAGTTTTTGTTCAGCTGCACTGTCTGTTTTCTCTGGGAACTGTGAAGATTTGAGATGCTGATGTACTGGCACAGACAAAAAGCACTCTCAGTTATTCCCTTAAGACTACCAAGCAGGTAGGAAAGCCTTTAATAGCTTTAGCTTATCTTTTGTTATATGTTGTTGTTTCAGGTTCAATGGATCCAAAGGACTTTCTGAGGGAAGCACAGATAATGAAGAACTTGAGACATCCAAAGCTAATACAGCTTTATGCTGTTTGCACTTTAGAGGATCCAATTTATATTATTACTGAGCTGATGAGATATGGAAGTCTTCTAGAATACCTTCAAAGTAAGCAAACAACTATAAACTCATTCCAAGCTTTCAGTTTACTAAATGAACTAGCATAAAAGATAGAAGGACAACACTTTGGTTTAATATAGAAGTGGCAGTATTTGTTGGGGTTGGGGACGGGAAAAAGAAAAAGGTTTATGAATTCTTGTCATACCAAATTATTTTAGAAGGTGTAGGAGAGAGTCGATTTCACAGTTTGATTCTTGCGTCGTAATGACCCACATTTTTCTACCCAGTTCTATGAATAGATTGGAACTTACATGCACAGAATAAAAAGATAAGCATACAGAAGGGAAGAAGGCATGGAAGGACTTTTGGTGTATGTTTGTCCCTTGCCTATCACATCAGGGCTCTTATCTCAGCAGGACTCCACAGTACGTTTCTGAAGGCAAATAACAGTTAAAAATGAAGTTGTACAGCCTGGAACAGTCTAGCATAGTGATAGCACTTTAAGTTCATCTCAGCTATTGAGAAAATCCTGATCCTAGTGCTGTTCTGCATTTTCAGTTTAGCAAATGCCTCTGAAATCCTAAGTGTCTTTAAAGCTGTAATGATCTTTTGAAGATGAAACGTTCACTCCAGTTGCCTTGGCAACTTAGGGGCTTAGGGGTCTCCAACCCCTAAGGCAAAGCCCTGTGAAATATCATAGACAGTATCTACCTTAACACACACCTTCTCCCATCCCCTCTGTGGAACCATTTCTTAAGGGAAATGTCCATTAGAGGGATAGCCCCGTTAGGAAGTACGGAGACAGGGGATGCAAGGAACTTGGCCAGATCGTCTGAAGTTTTGTAGGCATTTAGTTGCCAGAGGCAGTGAGGCACTTATTTCTTTTAACTTCTGATCTTTGGGGCCTTTGTGTGTTGAGTGCTGCTTGTCTGATTGAAAGAGCCCAGCACATCAAGAAAAAGATTGCCATTCCTGAAAACATTTATTGTATGGGAGAAAAAGCTCTGAGAAAGCCAGGATGAATCACAGTTATTGCAGAACTGAAAACTGGCCTGTGCTCTCGCACCGAGTCTGACATGTCCAGGACGCCTCAGTGTTGCGGCTTATGTGTAGATCAGTTGCCAGCATATGCGGTGCAGCTGCCCTTGCTGTAGGCAGGGTGTGTATGCAGACTGATCTGTGCCAAGGCACTGATTCCTATAGACCTGTGTCAGAATGACTGTGAAAAGTGAGTTTCTAGGCAACCATCAACACAAGAGTAAAAATGGCTAGTAGAAAGCAGCCTAGTGGTATGCCTGATGATCTGTGCACGAGAGGATAAACAGAACTGAGAGGTGGAGGCGTTCTGATGGGAATCGGTAGGAGAAAAGTCATTGTTGTCGATTAGAGTAATAAGGAAACAGATCTGAAGCTCACGTAGAGTTCTGCGTCTGGATATGATCTGCGCTCGCTGGAGGGCAGTGCACAGTTCCTGATAAGCGTTCTTGAAATTCAACCACCTCAAAGACCAGGAAAACATTTCCACAAGGCTGCTAATTCTGTTTGCACTATGAGTGAATATGGCAAATTGGAAAAGAAGGAAAGTCTGGAGATCATTTTTTGGTCGAATTTCTCCTTCTAAAAGTACATGGTATATTTTACTGGCTTAAAAAACAAACAAGCCAAAAAAAGAAAGCAAAAAACAATCCTATAAGGTAATGTTTTGTTCATGATGACTATCATACTCCACCATAAAGACAGCTATGTAATAACAATGGGCATGTGATTCCCCTGTGCACTCTGTGAATTTGCTCTTGGATACCTCCTGATGAACACACCTATGCAAAGTTGTTGAGGTGCCACCAATATGGGAGAAATGTAACTGAAAACTTTCTTCATTGTTGGATATGAATGAAATTGTTATAAATGTATGAATATTTTTATCAATTCTGATACACCTGAGGCTTGTTCTAGCAGGGACACAGTCTTGAAATGTGGTGAATTATTACCAAGGCAATATTCTCAACAGGGGAAAGCGTTGTTTAATTTCTTTTTTTTTTGTTTTTTGTCAGGTGTCTGTCAGTGAGAATGTTTTCCTGTCTTTCCTAAATGAGATATTGTGATTGATTGATTAGAACAAGGTGCAAACCCTGAGCCTTCTCTAACATTTTCTGTAATAAGTTTTTCATGTAAGGGAGATGATTTTTTCAAAAAATGTTAATAAATAAGGACATGGAGATGCTACACTTTCTTTTATGATAAAGAACAAGCCATGGGAAGCTTTTATAGATTCATCAGTATTGTCTGGTTTTGAGTGTGGAAGTTATATTAACTTTGCCATTTTGCTGTACTTTTTCTTCCCAAGAACACTTTGAAACAAACTAACACACATAATATATCCAGATGAATGCAGATGCAAACCCTTCTTCCCTGCTCTGAACAAGCTAGATGAGAACTAGCTCGACTCTGGAAATGTCTGTAGCTGTACGACTGCAGTGCTGGGCTTGAAATTGTGTAGTTTGGGTGGCCAAACATCCTGGGATGTCAGAGGTGTATTCAGGAATCTTTATATGAGAACAATACATGATTTGCGCTTTCACCCATGCTTTCCTCCTTTATCCTGTCACACAGCTTGTACCTCCTGATCTGCCTGCGCTCTTCCCTGGAGTTTTCCGTTCTTTGGCCCTAGAATGGCAGCGGCTCAGAACCAGGCCAGGCGGAGCAAAAGAAATACTCTAAGAGCGAGGGCTGCTGTGGCTTCTTCCTTGCTCCCTCAACCCACACGCCAAACGCAGCAGTTCAGCCTGATCTGGGATCCCAAACAGGCCCCATCCAAATAAACAGTCTTTCAGTTGCAGCTTCAGCTATAGAGGTGGATCTCTTCCCGGTTGTTTAACACAGTGCCTCTCTGTGTCCTGGGGGAAAAAAAAAAGATGTGAGGAATCACAGAATCACAGAATCGTTTAGGTTGGAAGGGACCTCTGGAGATCATCTCGTCCAACCTCCCTGCTCAACCAGGGTCACCTAGAGCATATTGCCCAGGATCACATCCAGACGGCTTTTGAATATCTCCAGCGAAGGAGACTCCACTACCTCTCTGGGCAACCTGTTCCAATGCTCAGTCACCCTCACAGTGAAGAATTTTTTCCTCAGGTTCAGATGGAACTTCCTGTGGTTCAGTTTGTGCCCGTTGCCTCTTGTCCTGTTGCTGGGCACCATGGAGAAGAGTCTGGCCTCATCCTCTTGACACTCCCCTTTC